GGACAAGGGAGGGGAGGGAAGAGGGGAGGAGGGAGAGAAGGAAGGGAAGGGAGAGGAAAAATGGAATGAAAAGGAAGAGGAGAAGGCAAGGAAAGGAGAGGGGAAAGGAAAAGAGACAGGAAAGGAAAAAGGAAAGGAAAAGAAAATAAAGTGGGGGAGGGTGGCCTTGAACAGGGAAGGGAAATGGAACTTCTTCCATTTAGAAAAAGAGGAAGAACTCAAGGAGTGCAAGCCTACCGTTTGTTCCTGATTTAGTTTGATTTGTCCTGCGCTATTTGATCTTCCACACAAATACTGTATTCGCCTTTCAGTAGAGTTATGGTAAGCTCTTGCTTTTCCAAAATTCTATAAATTAGGCCTGCCCAACTGCAACCTCTGTTGTGGAGATAATGTGGGTGTTATGAGATGCAGGACTGATGCAACATTTCAGAAACATACTGGCCTCTAGGATATATGAAGGGTTGTGTATCAGCTTTGCTGCTGTTGCTGATATCCAGGTATTACGCAAGTGAGATAAATGGCAAAGCAACCCCTTGTTACGCACACACCTGTGTGAGTGAGTTGGGTGGGTAACAGACTTCACTGAATGCAAATATTCTTAGCTCCTTAAAAGATGTAGTAGAGTGCATAAAATCGAGTATATAGGGCATTTTAACTTCTAGACCACAGGATTTCTGCTTTGTTTAGTGAAGTCTGACTGTGTGATCAGTTATACTTCCTGCTGGAAGCAGATATATCTCCCCTTTTCAGTTCCCATTTATTTCCTGATGCTGGAATTGCCTTTGGGGTCTTCTAGTATCTATTCTTAGATCTTCGTTCCATTAGAAGCCATTCTGTGAAATGAAAGCCAAAGCTTGTATGTTGGGAAAGTGATGGGGTTGGATCAATTTGACCTGTTGATTTGATAGTAGGAATAAAGTTGGTGCCAGGCAGGTGAGAGAAGTTAAGGACTTGCTTTCTTTTAAAACTGTCATGGGCATAATTAAGTCTGTGTTGGCAATTTAGGGCAAAATGAAAAGGCTCTGCCAGGGAAGTTGTGTGTGTACGCACTTCCCTTTCCACCTTCTGGCACATGTGGGCAATGCTGTTCCATTTGGACACTTTTCACCCAGCTAGTTTGGATATCCTCACTTTGCTATGAACTAAGAGGATACACATGGAGAGTTATCCTGTCTCAGCTGACAATTACTTTGTCCATTTTTCTTACGTACATGAGGAAAGGATAACCTTGTTAGCTTAATTCTATCACAAATGAACGTGTTTGAAAGCTCAGGGTAACTCAAACAGTAAGAGAATTTGTAAGTCCTGTTTTAAGTGAGACGATTTAAACTCATTTCACTAAAACTGGTGAACATTTGTGTTAATACAGTAGTAGAAGCGAAAAGGTTGTTGCTTGTGTCTCTATGGTGATATGCATGCATGTATGAAAGAATAAATTATGAGGTTTTGTTTAGTTTAATTGTAAAGGAAAAGAAAGAAAATAGAGATGATATTGTGGAAAGTTTGGAATATTGTGAAGTAGAATTTAGAGACTACTTTAAAGCTGTTTGTAGAACCAAATTCCATGACGTGCAGATCTGGTACAAACATGTACAGTTTTATTCTTATTGCTGTTTTTAGTTGTTGCGGTTTTTCTTGATTTGGGGTGTTCTGGGTTTTTTTTTTTTTGTTGTTTTGTTTTGGTTTAGTTTTGGTTTTAGTAAAACCCTGGTCTGTGTTTTCAGAAGTTGTACTCCACTTGTTTATCCATGTGCTAAATGGGATTGGTAGCTGTACAGAATTTAATGTGTCCCTTTCCATATAGATTTTTTAATTGCTCATCCTTCTTAGTCAGATTTATATGGTGTAATGGAAATGAAAGAGTTTAAGAAAATGTATCTCCTGTTAGAGCGCCCGTGAAAACCAGACCCTGATTGGGAAAGGGATGTGTGTGGCAGCTGTGATTTAACATTGCCTTTGATCACAGTGCAGCCCTGTTTGAGGCAATGCTGCATGCAGGCAAAGCAAAGGCCTGGGTTTTACTGATCTCATGAGCTCCTGAATAGGACTGGAAGGGGAATGACAGAGGAAGAAGAAAGCTTTGGAAATGAAAAGGAAACCCCGTGAACCCGACCAGCATTATTGGCTGGATTTGCCTACCAGGGAGCCGCTCAGTTTCTGCCAGGCTAATTCTGCTCCAACTTCTCATCCCCACACCCCCGACCCCACCTCCCCCCCTCTCTTCCCTTCTTTCAGACTTTTTTTGTTTCTGAGGCATGGCTGTAGTAGTGGTTCTCAGGCTGGGAACCCACTGAGCTGTTGCCATGGTCACTGGGAAGCTCTTCGTGCCATGTGCTTC